CTCCGTTTGAATTGCTTTTTCACCTGTGCGGCTTTTACTTATGAATATTTAAACGCATACGCGGAAGCAATTAGGTTAATGTCTCCGCGCGCACTTTTTCACATTTTTGGATTACGAGATTAACCCCTAAATGGAGTGGCCTGGGCTCCGCGGAGCACCGGGAGACTCTTTAGCTGATAACGGTTCGGTTGTGCTCTTACTGTACGCTGTAAATCAAATTTTTTCGATGATAAATTGTAAAGCGATCTTTGTTTTCTTATGGTCTAGTGACGGAATTAATGCGATTGTTGGAAGTATAATTGAAATTGTTGAATACGGTTTTAATGTTATAATGAAAACGAAGTGGATCGAGCAATTCGTATTTATGTCATCGTATTGTGTATTGTGTATTATTGTTTAAAGTATTATACAATTGTGAATATTAAACGTGTATGTAACCCTGTTTCCTATAAAAGTAGAATTAAACGGTGAATGTTTTTTTATTAATGTCAATTTCGATGCAGTTGAATTCACAAGATATTAATGTAATAATTGTATAGGTAGCACAGTATTATCGAAATGAAATTTAGTATTTCAAAAGTGAATAGTTTTACCAAGTATTAATTCACTATTAATTTAATCAATTTATTAAATTAACCTTCAAGATTCTTTATTGAGGTTCACGAGTTTTCAATTAACACTATAACTGCCAAATGGATCGAATTGACCCATTTTAGAATTTTTAGTTTGCCAGTATTTTACGTGAAAGTTTGTGTATTTGCACGGATACAACAATAAGCGCTATTGTTTTAATTTTTATAAAAACTTAAGAATAAGTCGCTCCAATTATTCCGTAGTTTTAACGTTAAGGGTTAAGTTGGCTGCAATCGAAAAACGAAATTACCATTTTCAATGTACAGTAGATCGCTACAACGATTCGTCGAAAGTAAAAAAAGGAGCAGCAACAAAAACTTTTGTAATATACGCATATCTCGTCCATTATCGCGAGATATAATTTACGGTAAAAGAACGTTTCGCACGGAAGTTCTGCGGCTTGATTTCGAGCAGTTAATTTCTTTTATTTTTCAAACAGCGCAAGACCATTTTTCTAACGGAATGCGGGACTCGCCGTTTCCACCCCTTTTTTCTTCGTTTTACCCGCTCGGAGGAATTACGGACTAGTCGGCGCTGTATTTAATGGTGTCTGGCTTTACTCAACAGCTTCTGCAGGTGTTCGATATTCGACACCTTATTTATGGTATGTGTACACGCTAGATCATCAGGATTCGTTCATGATGTTATCTCGGACTCGGAGCGTGACGAGTTTATGATTCGTTCTCTCGTAAACGGCTGAGCTTTTTAATATAGAAAACGTTCTGGGAAAATTTAATTCTCGAAAGATTCGACTTCGAAGCTAAACCTTCAAATTTGAACATATGGGAATCAAGAAGAAATCCATTGTTTTTAATCTTAAAACCTTTGCTATTTCATACAAATTAATTAAAATTGATAATACAAATCTTGATTTAGCAACTATGACTAATATTTTTTCTGCGTTCTATACCAAAAAGCCGATTTGAAATAATAGACGTTGTACAGTTCAGATTAATAAAAAAACAAAAATAAATAAGATACAAGATTTCAGGAAATAAATTATTTTAATACTCTATATTCAGCTTCAGTTTTTTCGAGACATTCAACGAAATATTACAATTGTATATTTCAAAAACGTGCCAAATCATTTCCTATCGATAAAAGCATGCCGAATTGCTCGCAATGATTAGCTTGCCAATATTTTTCGTAGCGGCGCTGGGAAAGATCATACAATTACGCGTTAGAGTTAAGTCTAATTTGTAGCTTTTCAGAAACATTGTTTTCCTATATATAATTTCTAACTTTCACTATTTATTTCGTAAGAAATCCCCTATTACACGATTTCCCCCATATTCCCCTAATCCCCTATTACGATTCACCAAAATAAATTAATTTCAATTCACTCGCAACTACTTACAAATAAGAAATTCCATTAAAAACCTTCATCGTTCAAATTACTGGCTCAACAAACTCTCGCCGTTCAGGTCCCTAACAAATCCTCCTCCAGCAGCAATTACAATCGCGAACCGAGTCCCCCCGAGCAACGCAACGGTACAATTCCCTCAGATTATTATTCAAAAGCAAATTACTCTTCTATCGTACGCGCGTCGCGGGCCGATCGGTCGAAGTGTCGGGGACTCTCCGTTTCTTCAGCCCGTCAATTTCATCGAATTGCGCAACGACCCAACGGGGCATGCCGAAAACGTCAGAACGGAACGTCAGATTATCTCCGAACGATTTATTCGAAGCGTCGGCGACGTCGTCGTCGGCCGCTTCGCTTCGTTCGGTTACGTAACGCGATACAACGGT